AAACAGCTAAATAAAGGAGACCTCACTTTTTAAAAGTTGTCTGACATTGACAGCATCTCCATAAGGATAATGATACTTTCGTTTGCAAAGCTCTATCTGTGCTATCTGCAAAGTAATATAGGAACTAAGTATTATTATTAGAGATGGAAAAGGCTTATTAGATCATCTATCCATCTCTGATGTAACAGAAAATGACAGTGATTTGCTGCTGTGATTTGACAGTGGCATTTGTAAAAATGTCCTTTTTTCTTAACTCTCTGCAAGTTTCAGTGCTGAGGATTCAGTAAGCTAGACAGCTTACTAACTTTGTCAGTCTCCATTTCTACGGATGAAATACATTCATTTCAGGCCCACATTTCCATCTTCTTTCTTCAACTTTTATTTTTTGAGGAGGAAGGAAAGAACAATCCTTATAAATACAGCACATCAAGCTTCACAGAATTGGTGCACTCCCCAGGTGCAGACCACTTGCATCTCAACCCTTTACAAAGCAGTAATGTAGCATCCTTCCTGCTTGGGATTGTGCATCATGTAGGAGAGAAGCTGTTGTGCATCTTTCTGGTGTTTTCCAGCAGACTTCTAACTCAGAAGCCATTACAATATACCCATCACAATGCACTGTGAAATGAGCACGCATCCATCACGTAACCTATACAAAGTGGATGCCTGATCAGATAATGCATATAGTCTTACGTGTGGGCAGTCATTAGAGGTCTGCAGAACTCTTGGTGGTCGATACTGGCAGGTTGAAGATACTCCTCCTCATGGAATAAGGCTCTGCTCCTCCATCAGTTTCAAGAGAAAGAATTGCTTCTGCTTTTCCTTATACTCTCTAAAATGTCTCGGAATTATTTGCTATAACAGGTTTTCAATTTTAGTGCTGATATAACCAAATGTCTGGAGGGAAATCAGTTGAAGTATTCAGAAGATGACTCTCAATATGATTCACACTGCTGTGAGCAAAGAAGAGGGCTGTCTGGCCTTCTGTACGGGAATGATAACAGATATTGGATGCAGTGTTACTCAGATAAAGTTAATGGCAGTGACATCTGGTAGATGATACAGAAGAGTAAACTCCTATCACCTGTTTCCTAACACTCTGTGCCCAAACCATTATATGTCAGACTTGGTAAGAGTGAATAACCTTTCAGTATCTATCTCTCTTCCCTCCCATGCTCTCAGTCATATGAGACTGAGGGACTGCTACATAAATCACCTCCACATATTCACAAAGACAGAAGAGCTAAAAGCCGCCAGGGAAAAAGAATTCAAAGTACTGGCCTCCCCAACATTTAGCAGTCATTGTACAGACTTACACATTCTGAAAGCCTTCTCACAGACATAACAAATGCTTACATAAAGCCTGGTACCTTCAAAGTGTTTCACCAGCATAAATATATTAATAAGACCTTTCCAAGAAGAGAATGCAGTGTCAGAGAGATGCCATTCAAATGCCTGGGCTCTTAGAGGTAGAGCTTCAAATATTCCATTAAACCTTCATCCTCTGCCATTGATGTCAAGGACGCTTAGAAAGAAGGATGGAAAGTACAATGGAACTTTATGAGCAAAAAGAAAAGTAACTGCTTGTAAAATGATTTTGCCCTCTCTGATTGCAGTGTTAATTAAATTGTATATTCTGTGATGTGCATCAACTGAATTCAACACGAAGTGAAATAAAAATAAGATTTTTATACTCAGTTTGACTGTTGCCACCTAGATGGTTCTTTCAAAGAGACTGGTGACAACTGCCACTGATATGCTTTGGTATACATCTTGTTTAGGGGTCATAATGAAAACATAAAGGATAGTCTGGCATATGACACTTAATTAGAAACATATTTAGAATTTTAGTTAGCACTAGGTTGTTAAGAACTGACAAACTTAAGACCTTAATGCTGAAGGAAATAAACCATGCCATTCGGCAAATATTGTAGACCACATATAGACACCCTCTTCAATGATAAATTCATTATGCAATTGTAACATGCAGAATAGTCTACAAAAGCTACTTTTGTAGCAATAGAATTATGTTTGTCATACATTCTTGGAGGAAGATCAGTTGCTTAGGCTTTAGTTTGTTTTTTTTTTAACCATGTTTTCTTACAAACAGAAAGCCAGAACACCATACTGTGTTTGTGACCATTACCAAGAGACAGGCATGTGTTTGTTGCTCCACACCTGGCATAGGTAAATCATGTTAGCTGCTGTACATGCAGTACTGTATTTGCTAATTCTGAAGCCAGGGCACTTCGTGGTTGCAGCTGTATCTGCTGTGAATTCTGCAAAGTCAGATGATAACAGGTTTATGGAGATAGGGCCTTTCTCATCCTTCTCTGTTCCCTATTCTACGCACTGGAATTTGTTTGGCATCTGTGTTGCAGAGCAGGGGCTGGAACACCAAAGATGGTGAGGTACCCGGAAGTAGTGAAATATGGAAAAATGAATGACATTTTGTGTGAAACAGCTCCCAAACTACTAACAGACTCTTGGTTCTTTATAGAGATTTCTTTTCTAAACTTGGTAAGCAATTCTTTGAATTAGCCTCACTATATATACGGCAGAAATAGAGTTTCCGTAACAGAGCAGAAATAAGTGAAGACCTTTTTGATTAGAAACGCTTAGCCTACCTACATCTTGAGTAACTGGTTTCTGCGGGGTCACTTTTTATTTGCACAATGAACTCAGAAGCTGTTGTAGAAAAGCTACAACTAGTATATACAAAATAAGATTAACAAAGAGTCCGACTAACCTAAATTATGATATATTCTCATATTTATTGGATAGCTTGCATGCTTATGAGCATAGAGATGCAAAAATGAAACAGAAGACCTCCTGTATTAAGAAAAAAATATCTAGAGAGTTTGAGTAAGCACAGTTTTCCATGATGTATTCACAGGATGATATTGCCTAGGTTATTATATAATATATAGTAAGAAAAGAAATAAATAAAAAAGCCAAACATAGGTATGAACTAAAAAAGGCTCTATAAAATCCTACAAATATGACAGTGTTTTTTCTGCATTTAAAATACCTGAAATTTTGAGAAAGGTGAAGGCAGAGGCTCAAAAGGGAACTAAGAAAAGCTACTTTCTTCTAGCTGACATGACTCTCGTGCAAATATATTAGAATTGACAAATGACAAACAGATATAAAAATATACATCTGCCAGTTCACTTGGCCTCTGAAAACACAAGTTCTGTACAACCCAGATTTCATCTCTACTGCAAACTATTTAAAGCACCTGTAATACTGTTCTAAGATCCTAATACTTTAAGAATAATTTATTTTTATTACCCTATTCTGTTCTAATAAAGACTTACTACCAAGTCAGAATGCATTTCTGGAAGTATCTCACACTGACAACTATTTCAAGCAATGTTATCATTGTTTTCTATTAGCAGGATATGAACCTTATGACGCAACCAAGCGACTGAGTCAGGTTCTACTGTGGATGTGAGCTAGAAAACTCAACAGGCATATGTTCTATTTCATAAGACAGATGAAACCCTACACTGATTTATACTATGTTATCAGTCAGTTGCATATGGTTATATCATTGCTTATATGCTAGAAGATTAAAGTTATATCAAAAAAGTAAATTTTCAATTTTTCTTTGTGTAGTATTTGGATTATTTTACATGTTTCGAAACAGAAGAATATGAAACACTTTAAGATCACACACAACAGTGCAATAAAAGTCCATTTTCATACTTAATATAGTTTGCAAAAATAAATACACTGCAGTTTCACATTTCCAGCCTTCCGGTATGCTGAGGCCTTAAACAAACAGGGCCCTTGAACTGCAAACTTTTTATCTTTTTTAAATTTTCATCCTTAGCTATAAGAGTTGAAGGAAAGTGGCCCACATAGCATGGGTACCATTGCATATGCAGCAAGAGCGCACTGCAAATGCTGTCACTATGAAACAACTGCATGCAGAACAGTCTCAGTGTAGTAGTGGCTTTCAAGTCAATACGTAGCAAAGAAAAACATCCAAAAAGACAGTCTTTGAAATCACAGAAAAAGGCAAGACAAAATCTACCATTTTTGAAAGCCTGTGAAGGCTGCATGGCTCAGCACCCAATGAGTTTTTCACATCTTGTAACCTATATCCAATACTCAGGGTTTTGCCACTTGTATTAAGGAAAGATTTAATCCAGCAAATGTCCCTTTAATTACAGAAACTAAGGCTTGAATCCAAAGCAGCTTATTAGCTAAATAGACAACAGGGAGCTCAGATTCCGACTTCTTCTTCTCCCACCAGAGAACTGAAGCATGCCGTGCAGTCTATTATGAGTGGGCAGATATTATCTAGCAATCAAAAGGAAAAATAATGTAAAACTGAGTGCAAAATGTGCTTACAACAAGGAAAAAGGTGATGTGCCAGTACGAACAATTTCACAGGATGCAATGTAAATGTAGCACTATACCTACTAAATAATGAACTCACAGGACATTGGCACAGAGAGGAAAATAGAAAAGATTAATATTTGAGTGAGATGCCATTTCAAGGTCTTTGTCAAATGCATAATTCTAATCAATGGATATTATTGCATAGCAGCTCAACAGAACTGTAAGGTATTTCAGTGAATACCTACCGTTAACTTCATGCATAATAAGATGCCTTGAGATATAAACATTGAGAATGATTAGGACCACAAAGAAACCTAAATACACAAAGCTCTTTCTTATAATTCAAATGTAAATTCTATGTACCCAAACTGCGTCAATTCAAGAAAAAGTCAAATTCATGAAAACTTTCTTAATATGTTGCATAAAGTATCACAAATATTGAAAATAGGATTAGCAAAGGAGAATGCACCATTCAGTGAGTACTGGAAAAGATGTTTATCAAAAATTTATCAGGTGAAGTAAGTCTGAGAAATGTTGATAACAGATGGGAGCTGTCTCGGCAAAAAAAATGTTGCTAGTTTGACTGTTTCTCTGGCTAAGGATAAAAGTATTGTGGGGGAAAAGAAAAAAAGGTTGATTTTTCTTACCTCTTCCTTCTCTGCACTTTGCAAGTCCCTCCATTCCTCAGTGACATGACCAAAGTCCACTGTGTTCATTGCAACCTTATACTCCCCAATGATATCATGTTTGGAGAAACGATCAAAGTCATAAACTGCCATCACTAAAGTTTTTCCACCCAGCTCGGAATATGGCACCTGCAAAGGCGAGAAAATGACAAACTCTCTATCTGAAACAATAAAGATCAGCCCACTACAATGCAAATCTATTTCTTTGGTTTATCAGCTGTCATCTCAGGTAAATTGAGCTGCAGAGAAAATTATGAGGTGTATTTGTTTCAGAGTCACCAGATGCAGTATTTTTTGAGGCCAGGCTCTGGCACTTGATAGAACAATGTGGCAGCTCACTTATCACTCCTTGCATTTCTCTCATTCTACTTCAAATCGTTTTGTGGGTGATGAAACTCAAAGAGAAAGCCCAATTATTTGCAGTGAAGACACATGAACTTTTCACACAATGGTGTCTTTTCCTCAATAGATCAACTGTCATCACTCAGAAATGGATAGCTCCCAGACTGATGAAAAAAACAAAAATGGCTTACTGTATCTGACACAGAGTAATTAGACACTAAATAGTTCTCTTACAGTACCACTGCCTATTACTGACCAGGGCATATTTTTCATTATTATACCTTTCACACTGTAGACACTAAAGTGCTTTCCAAGTCACAGTGTACAGCTAGAAATTGTGGTGGCAGAAGGCCAAGTTCTGACTAACTCTCCAGCTGTTTTGATGTTTTGGACAGATGCTGTGAGTTAGGATGCTTATGAGTCACAACTTTAATATTCGGATGAAGATGTTCAGCTCAGGTAAGCTACGCTTGCGTGGCTGTCTGGAGAGGTCAGATTTAGGGATTGTTTGGACTTATATTGAACACTTGGTCAATTTGCATATATTCTGCAAGTATAAATGGTTTCCATGGGCTTCAGTAAACATTTTGTTATTGTCTATACAAAAACAGAAATAAAAGTGTGGCATTAACACAGTCAATTAACAAAATTTCTGTATGCTCCAGTCTGTTTAAACAAAAGGACTGTTGTCTTCTGCTCCTGTTTGCCTCCAACTTGCTTTTTAAAATACTAATAACACAAGGACTTTTCTTTCTTTCCTAACATGTTATATAATGTTTAAAAGAATCTTTTCAAGTTGAGAGCCAGCTCCAGCTTCCATTACTGAGTAAATCAGTTTCAGTGGGCACAGGGTTATGTATTGTAATAAATACTACAGCAAAATCTATTTTGATTCTGCAAATTCTGTGTAACTTCTAAAAAGCTATAGAAGACAAATATACGTGGAAGGCAAAATACTACATAATTTCACTTTTATTTTTACACAGAATCAAAAACAGGAGAAGAAAAATTTTCTAAAGTTTCCTTCTCCATCAGTTTATAATGCCACTTAATGGATCCTGTTCATTTGGAATGCATGGAAAGACTACATCTATCATTATATAGTTGTGGGTTTTCTTTTGGTTTTTTTTGTAACTTGAGCTCACTAAAGCTTATTTTAGCTACCTCCCTTTTTAAATGCTTCCTCCCTTCATTACCTCTAAAGCAGCCTCAGCCTCCAGGTTTGTTCAGGACTACTAAGGATGTCCTCAGCTCTTGTGAAGGATTGCTCCCTCTCCCTGCTTTCTGCTCTGCTCAGAGATACCCAGCCTCTTGACATAATTCAGGTAAGACCCTGGTAGATAAGTGTTTTTCTGGCACGGACATGTCATAGAATCTTAGCATGCTTTGGGTTGGAAGAAACCTTAAAGATAATTCAGTTCCAACCTCCCTGCCACCGACAGGGACACCTTCCACTAGACCAGGTTGCTACAAGACCTTTCTAACCTGGCCTTGAACACTGCCAGGGATGAGGCAGCCACAGCTTCTTGGGGCAACCTCTTCCAGTGTCTCACCACCCTCACAAGGGAAAACTTCTTCCTAATGTCTAATCTAAATCTACCCTCTTTCAGTTTACAGCCATTCCCCCTTGGCCTGTCACTACAAGACCCTTGTAAAAAGCCCCTCCAGATTTCGTGTAGGCCCCCTTTAGACATGAACTCTCTTTCTGCTTTGGGGCTGAGAAGGTATACAATTCAGACAGCTGGAGCCTGATTAACACATGCAACCTGGAACAGCACCACAGATGTCTGGGAAACAATTGAAAAGGGGACTAACACAGGGAACCACCCAAAGAAGGATTGAGGTCCAGGGCTGTGTTATGTTTCTGCAATACATAAGAAACATAATGCACTCACTCCCATTAGCCTTTCTTTAGGAGGAAGGCTGGCAGCTCACAGCTGTGCCCTGGGAGAAGGTAACAAAACAGGCCTGGCCTGCCTGGTGGGCAGCTCTGCCAAAACGGGAGATGGTAAGGATGCCAACAGAAGTTGTGCACTACCTGAAGTGGGTCACAGAAGTAAGGCTCTGCCCAACTACATTGTCAAAAGTTCCCAGTGAAATTATTTATTACAGTTGCAGCACTAGTTAAATGGTCACTATTTCACTGTAGTCCCCAGAATAATGCTGGCATTTACCATGGGTTTTCTCTTGAGTACAGACCACAGTATCAAAGGGATGATCAGTTTCATACTGGGATGCACCTAAACATTGTCAGGTATTGTGCTGAAAGCAAATTTTCTTCTGGAGTATAAAACTTGAATACTAAAGATGTGACTTAAAACAGTGGACATTACAGCCCAGGAATGGAAGACTGGATTTGTAATTTGTACCTTTGTTTCTTTTTTCTTTTGTGAGCTTCATGGGAATCTGTAATTTAGAACTCTGTTTTCTTTTAAATGCTCTCTCAGGGAAGCTCAAGGAAAAAATAACTCCCCACAAAAGATTACTTTTATGAACATCTTCAAGGGAAAAAATAAGCTTATATATGCAGTGGTGGTTCTGGCCTCCAGGGATATCTTTCTCATTGAATGATTACATAGCCTGAGTCTTTCACTGTTCCTGTTTTCAATCTGTAGCTGTCATTATAAGATTGGGCACAGAGAGAAAGGCCTAAAGTAACAGCAGAGGAATGTATATTAGGAGAAGCCCTATAAAACATACTTGTATTTAACTGGCGTTTAGGTACGGCTACAGTTTTAGAAAAACACTGTTGATAGATATTATTGGAATGACTTCAATATTCAACTTAAGGCTTAGCTACATTTATTTAACTCTTATGTCATTAAACCTGAGACACGATTTCTTTTCATATGTAAAGTAGCATAGCAAAATTGCTATGACAAAGTCCAGCAAGATTAATCTGCCATATTGTCCTTCATCTGTTTACCTTTTTGAGGGGAAAAGAAATGATATACTGAAATTCACAAATCAAAGTTATTTACAGAAAATGCTGGCCTAGTGAAATTTACCCAACATTTGTCAAGGTGTCACTGTTTTCTCACTTTCTTGTAAGTTTTATCCAGCCATAAAATATGGATTGGATTGTCATACATCAGCTAACCAAAGTGCCTAAAATCAAACTGTGCCTTTTACACCTCCTGAGGTCTGACCCTGTGTTATACCATTCCATCATAAGAAGACTGAGTATCAGAGGTTTCTACGACATGAAAACCCACTATGCTCACCTACCAATTAACTAATATGTCTAACACAGTAGCCAAACATGAGATAGTCGTTAAATAAAAAAGTTTCAATAATTATCAAAAAAATACCTTGAATGTAAATTGCTCATTGAAAACAGGGTTAAGGGTCTTTCTGTGGACTTTTGTCTCATATTTCTTCTTCTTGTCAGGCAGCAGGAAAACTTTCACATAGGGATCAGATGTACCACCCATATCTAATGCAGGCAGCTCAGCTGCTTGAATAATTCCAACCAGAAGCTGAAAAGAGAGAAAAACAGCAGAAGGACATTTCAAATAGATATTTATAAAAAAACCCCAAACTGTAACAGAGAAATAAACATGGAGACTCTATTTCTGGTCTATGAAAAAATATTCCCCTCCTTCAAGGAAGGCAAATGAAGCAACGCTATAGACTTTGGAAAACCAATTATGGCAGATGCAGACTCTACAAAGGCTGTTTTTAAGCAGAAAACAGGTTTTCAAAGGGCAGCTGATTACAGCTAAATACAGACTTCATCTTTTTAAAGACTGCAATCAAATAACTTTCAATTGCTCCCTCCTCTTGTGCATTATATTTCTATGCTGGGCACCATGAATGGAAATCACATTATTAAACAATCAAGAATGTCTAATTTTGACTACAAAATTTGTATTCTAAATCCCCAGCATGTAACCTTCCCCCTAACCAAACACACAAAGGTGATATATCAAATGCAAATCCTCAAGCAGAGCTTTGCTGAAAAGAAATGGATTTTGTAGTTTTCCTTGTATTTAACTTCTCTTGCTATGTATACAAATGGGTTTAGATAGTAAAGTAAGGACAACATTTTCGAAAAATACCACATAAAATCTAACCTTTGGTAACTAAACCCTAATAAAAATTCATAATCTCGTTGCAAACCAGAAAAAAATCAGTTTCTTAAATCTCTTCTGTACTTTTAAAAGTCAGACTGAAGCACATTTGAAACCTGTAAATACCTTGGCAATTTTTTTAGTGTTATAAACAAAGGGTTATGTTATGTTAGTTATGTCATGTTATGTTGACATACCGGCTTGTATTAGGCCTCATCAGCACAAGGGAGTTGAGACAAAGAAATACTTTTAATCTAGCTTCACGTCAGAACTAAGGTAAACATTCAAGTGACTCTTCAAGGTCAATGTGGAAGCAAGATATTAAGAACTGAGGATGAAATCTGATAATATTTCTTAAAAACCAGTGCTTCAGTCACAATGTATTTGTTTCTCTCATAGACGAATCGTTCAAAATTGAAAACAGAAGCTCTAACAACTGGAATATAGAACTACATAGTCCATCTAGAAAAGAAGCTTCTGAGAGATTTCTCAAAGCTGGACTGACTTTTACCAGTTTTAAATTCACAGTATGGCTTGCATATTTTCCAATGGAAAATCCCTGGGAAATTTCCCTCTTAAGCTCCCTCTTAAGGACTCTTCCAATTAAAATTAAGCTATAATTTTATATATGCTATATAAAATTAGGACTTTTAAGATACATGAAATATTTTCCTTTAGCTGTAAGACACACTTCTATCTAATTCTTTTCCTAGATGCGTAACAGTTCATAAATACATGGACAGACTCAGGATCTACATCCAGTCTTTCACATCTAAGAGTGAAAACCAAGTCTATGACTTCTACTTGAAAGAATGGAAAAGCAATTGAATTGATTTAAAAAATTTCTTTCTCTGAAACTGAAGCATCATACTTTGGAGAGTACATTGGTGATCTTGTCTCCATTCTCAGCCTTGTGCAATGCATTAGCCGGATTTTTGGTCTGTAGTTTCATGCCACTGAACTATACTAACCTAAATGAATCCCCTCTTCTACTGTTTATCCCCCGACAAATTCCAAGCTGCAACATAGTTTTAAGCAGCAAAACAAAACAGGCATCCGTGACTCAATTTATTACCTTAATTAAATATTACACACTTTTACAGATTTTTTTGCTCTCACATCCTATTTTCTAATTAATGAATCAACATTTCCTTTAACGAAATTCACACAAAGTTTGTTTTCATATTCTAACAAAACTGAAATCCATCTGTCAGAACACATTTGCAGCTTTTCCTTTCCCCCTCTTCAGACCTTCTGCTTCTGAAGGGTCTAACACTTCACACTGATTTCATACTGATTTCAAGGGGGATGAGTGTGACTCAGCACATGGCCAGTCTTCTGGCAGTTGAAGAAAAGCTCCTTTAGCCACAGGTTCTTTAAAGGCTTCAGAATGATTTTTTGCTCTTGCATTGCCAATAAGCACTGGTAGTCAGAACATAGTTGAAAAGACAGGAAAATACTATGTATTATGCCAGGTCATAGCTGGTGCTGACACAGAAAATTTTATTTCTCTTATTTTCTTTGTCTTGCAACAAGTAAGTGCACTGCATTCTGAGAACAGCAAAAACCAAAGAAATTGACTGTGGAAAAAAAACCACAAGTACATGTAAAAGTCAGTTCAGATGAATAAAAATAAACAGGGATTTAAATTCAGTAGCCATTTCTTTCCATAAATAGAGAAGAATAATGTGGTTTTGACTTAAGCTGTCAAAAAATGAAATGAAGGGTATGTATTCTCAAGTTCACTGAAAGCCATGCAGTAAAAGTGAAGAAGTCCAAAGTTAAGCCAGTTTTAATGTGAGGCTGTGAATTGACATAATTGACAAAATGATCCCAACCACAGCAGAAGGCCAGGGAGGGCAATTAAATATGAGCTAGTTTAGGGTGTGGTCAGACCTGTTAAGTAGGTTGATTCTAGGTCTGTATCATATTATGGTACCTATTCCTACTGAAAACTTGGCTCAGTATGTGAAAGTTTGGTCTTACCAGTTTCAGAGTAGGGTACTGAAGGAGTATCAGTCCGTGACTGGAGAGATTTCTCTTGTCCAAATTTACCTTTTTTTTTGTTTGTTTTGTTTTGTTCCAAATTAAAATTTTCCTGACTAGCAGATATACTTTAATGGAGAGCAACACAACCTGATGCAGCTAATAAAGCAAAGTGCACACTTGAAGTGAGAGAAAGCTATTCCTGGCCATCTTACCAATTTGCTAAAAGACCTACTTACTTCTATGTCCCTCTCGTCTACCTCCCATATTTTGTTTGCTTACATTTTAAATAGCTGAAGGCTGAAGCTATCTTTTACTGTCTGCATGCAGACTCCATAATGTAATGTGGTTTGACATTGATTGGTGATGTCTCAGTATAAAAAGTTATTAATAACTATTAGATAAAACTGTCTTCAATTTTGATTAAAGATGCAATATAAACTCCAAGTACATCGGATTCCAATTTACTAGTACCTCTGTCATGAATCTTTAGTCATGCTTTTTTAGTCATGCTCCTTTTGCTCTGTACAATTAGTAAGGATTTCAGAAATATCTACCATATTAAATGTATTACTTCATTCTCCCTTTGCACACACAGAAATGAAAGGTTACAGGTTGGTTGTTTCAAACCTGATTGTTCTGGAAGTCATAATCCAAAGAATATTGGATTTTCCCTAACTTCTCCACTTCTTTGGGTTCTTCTTTCTCTTCCCCATCAGTCAGCCCAGTCTCAGCATCATCATCCTTAAGAGCCTAGAAAGAAGGAATATATTCATAAATAAAGTAAACTCTTCAGTTTAGCATAGACACTGTCCTCAAATCTATGTAAAAGCCATTAAAAGCAAGCATGACAGCAGAAGTCCAAATATGCAAATTACATATATTTGTATACTATTTAGGTTGCTCAGGAAGATATTGTAAATCAGCAAGCAAGCAATGGAAGTAGGACGAAAGCTTCTTCGACTATTACAAGCAACCATTGTTATAAAACCTGAAAGTAGAAACAAAATACCAGCTCAATATGAAAAAATTCTTCTGGGCTCACACTGGCTCTTAAAGAGGCACAAGGAGGCAAACATGCTATTAAATAAGCAAAGTCATACATCCATTCAACTTAAGAATATCTTGGCAATGTCAAACCTGGTTGTGCATGCTGTGAATTGTTTGCAATTGGCAACACATTTCTGTAGGATTACTATGATTAAGAGCATGTGCTGTGGATGAGTTCTTCCTACAATCATATGCCAAACATTTTTCATGTTTATTTAGAATGAATATGGAAGCAAAGTTTTCACCATGCCATTAGCAAATGCATGTTTCTCTGTTTCTCTCCCTCCCGAGACCAATTTCCTTTTTATTCATTCTCACTATAAAGCTTGGCTGAACCAAATTGATTGCAAGTTGATTTTAGTTTGCTTAGGAGGAAACACAAAAAGAAATACAGAACTGCTTACAGCTTTTTCGATTGCATAAACCCTGCTATTTTTAAAGGACACAGCAGGTACCTTAGATTTTATACATAATTAAAATACTAAATGATGTAATCATTTTTTTACTGTACCAGAAAGCAGAAGTATTTGTACTGTGAAAAAGGGAATTCATACAATTATTAAACTGTATGAACAAGAACTAACTTTGTAGATCATATTTCAGCAGATTCTTACCTAAGTAAGAACTGAAAAATGGGCAAAAGTGATGAGACAAATAGTGAAAAATTGTGGAAAATGTGCAAATAAAGTTGATAGTGTGAAATCAAGGAATCAATACTGAGCATTCATCCAGAATTGTTATTTGCATGTTAAATAGTATGCTTATTATCTGTAACAAGCCCTGTCTGGACGGAAGTTCCTTCTATATGAAACTTCTGCTTGCACAGAACTTTTAAGTGCAAGAGTAAGATTTGTTATGCTCTTTTTTCGCAATGTCAGGTGGTCTGAAGGAATCTACAGCATTTACAAATGGGATGCAGCAGCTCTTTATTTGAAGACAGAGCAAGGCTGGAAAGTCACTATATCCATAGTTGATGGTGGTTGGTGAAAGACTGAACATGAAAGCATTAACATTCTCACTCAGCCATGAATGCAGTGGGGGTCACACAACAATTGTGGGGGTATGGTAAGAAGAAAGATTGATCTCTGAAGTAGAAAAAGTTATTTTTCAGAATCTGGACCTAAACTCAGAAGGTCAGATGTAAAAGTGTACAGTATTAAGCGATTATTTCTCTGCTTTCAAAAATAAGCTAGAAATTCAGCTGTCATAGCTCAACTGAAATCAATGCAAGAACATTGATTTATGCAAGCTGAAGAGCTGGGTTTGAGTTAAATATCTGAAAGTTAATGAATGATGGACTCTTTACTAGGGACATAAATTACAGTGTACCTGGATGAGATTGGTGGGAAAAGTCAGCAGTGAGTAAGAATCACCCGTAATATTGGAAGAGTAATACTTTTTGCACTAAACCACTTCTATTTCAAAGGGCTGAGATGCCTAAAATGAAAATTATTTTAAGATATTTAAGTTGCTGAGCTGTTAGTGAGTTCCCTGGCTGTAGCACAACTTTTCTGTTAGCACAACAACAATGGTGACACTTCAAAACTGACAGGCTCCATGGCAAGAAGCACAGCTCCTGCAGAATCAATGTGGACATTTCAGTATATGGGGTGATGTGATTAGCGAAACACCTTGCTTTCACTGGCAATAAAATTAAGCTTGAGGTTTTGTGATCAGGAAAAAAACAACACAAAAAATGACTCAATCCAACCAAAGGAACCACATATATCAGAGCTTGGAGAAAACAGGAAGCAATAACTCAGAGTGGGATGCTAACTCCAAGACCCACTGCTCTGATTCATCCTAGTACTGCCTTAATAGAGGACTCCATGACAGAACAGTGATAAACAGCTCCAGTATATCACTGTTTCTGTGATAGTTGCTGGATTTCTGCTGTTTCATCTACTTTTGACCTGTATTTTGTTTGAGAGGAAATATCCTACAGCCATTCCTCAGGGATAAAAGGCAGAATACAAAAAGAAACTTATATGCTAATTCCTCGGTATGGTGAATTTGTGACTATTGCACTAAGACAATTGTGACAAAACCATTGCTAGGAAAATGATATATTCTTCTGCATAGCTGATCAGCCTGGGAGATGCCAGACCTGTAGCTCACTCAATGTGAAAGGATTCTTACTTATATTGAAAATACAGTGGGAAGCTAACATCCCTCTTGCAAGGGAATTTTGAAAAGCAGGCAGAAAACATTGCCTGCACTTGGTTAACTCTTCACAGGTTATGGAAAGCCTGTTGGAAGGTGAAAGTTATCTCCTGGGGAGATGGAAAACGTTGCATGTTACATCAGCTGAGGAGCTATGATTCTTCTTGGCCATGACTCAGAAACACTGAAGCACTAAGAAACATTAAGAATGATGGTGTTTAGATTTGGCCAAGGTCATGGCACTGGGGGGGGGAGGGAAGAAATGACAAATTATTATGTCTACAGGAGTCTGTACATAACAGTTTATACTGCCAAGAAAAGAATTTGCTTTCGAAGTAGAGGCCAAAGGTACAAGAAGCTGAGTCAAAGGAAGCACTGAAGTTTTGTGTTTGATGCAGCTGCTGAATTCCAAAGAGGAAAAAGAATTGGACTGCTTTAAAGTACTTGAAACACCCTGCAGGGATTTTCATTTTGTATTGAGATTCTCTGAAAGATCAATATTTAATGGAATAGTACTGCAACCCTCAATTTATAGCACACTGTATCACACTATATTGGATCCTATTGTTGTTACAATCAATTAAAATAAGCAGCTATATTTTACTGGTTTTAGAAACAATAAAAGATTTTTAATTATAAGCTAGCTTTTTCCTCAAGCCTCTTCAACTGACACAACTATAATCAGAAAGCTTGGTCTTAAATGCAGAGGAATATAAGCCTTGCCTTTCCTAATATTTCTTTTAATTCCATGACATTTAAAATGCTTTTTCTGTGAAATATGCAACACAAAACGCCTTATTACATTGTGCTGGAGACCAGATTTACGTTTTTCTAATTTGGGATGACTGTGAATTTCACTCAAGTGCTTTCTTCATTTCTGCACAACAGACGCAGAAACACACAACAATGAAACCCCTATATCCTCCTGCATACGTAAAGTATCTGAAAAATGAAGGCTTATCTGTAAGCAGGTGTAGGAATATACAAAAAAAAAAAAAAGTGCTTATCCAGTGCATGCATTACAAGGTGATACATCCAAATCTAATGAAACCAGCAAGTGGGAAAAGTTACTTTGTGCCAGGGACCTTAACAGGGCCACACAAGATATATGTTTTCTTAGACCTGGAAGACAAAATGAACTTTTGAGCAATCCCTCATTTAATCCATATTTGAATGAGTTATGTAATTAGTTCTAGATCCAATGGACATAAATCTAGTTACAGCATCAGGATTTTCTTTTCTGTGCCATGTTTAGTTAATAATTTTTTACTCTCATCTACATCTCATCTGCTTTGTAGTGGTTCCTACAATAAACAGTGCTAAATTACAGTGATCCGGGATCCACAGCTGAATCTGCCGGTTGTTTCTTTACTTCCATAACATAATTAAGAATGGTTTCACAGTCTCATCTTTTCTTCTGGGTTGTTGAAGAAAACACTTTGTTTTATTACTATTTTTTTTTGATGTTGCATCTTTTGCATTAAAAAAGGAAAGAAAAACCAAAACTGCTTGTAATTGCAGCTCTGCAAATTCTACACCTTGCAGTGGGTTTTTACATTTCCTGAGCTTCCTCCCCTTCTTATTCCCCTAGCTGCCAAAGCCTCCCTCCAGTGGTGCTGCCTCCAGATACTAAGAACATCCCTTGCTTCCAGCTGTTTCTCCAAAGCCCTGTACCTCGTCACTGGGTTTATCCCATTACTTTCCACCACAAACTACAAAAGAGGTTCTGGGGATTAAAACAGCTTTATGTACACTTTCATTTAATCCCTTCCAAAACTATGCGTAGAAATCAAGCGGGTTTGCAAGGTATTTAGCACATCTGGTCTGCTGGTTGCACATGGGCAGAAGCTCGAGGAAAGTGAACTGAGACAAGACTCAGATAACAAAGCTGCTGGCAAAACAATTGTACTTCCTTGTCTCCTGTACAGAGAGGCAGAGGCTGCAATTGTGTCTGAGTCACCAAGAGGATGCAAAGACCCATGAAGGTGTATTCTGCATTTTGATTCCAGTAACAGTTACCCTAATGTCTCAATGGTAATGCCTGGTTCATGTCACATGCTATTTAAGACTGCAAGTATCTTTCACTGTCATGTGCAAAGAAATGCTTTCACTAACACTGTTTTTAGGGTTCCTTCCACTCACAGGGTGGCCTATGTCGTCACTTTAAAGGAAACAAGTTACCGATTATCATGGAGAGACATTAGGAAGCGAAACATTGACTGCAGCCTGTACATTTATTTGCTTCACGGTGCATGCTGCCATTCCAAGTTCCATCTCTGCCTGCCCCATCAATCATTTCCTTTGTTCACATTGCGAAGGGGATATTTTTTTAACAAGTGAATGATGCCCAGTCCTCAGGCTTGTGCAATGCCTGCTGAGCTGAATGGAAGAAAACAATATGAGTTTGCAGTGAGAATGTTCTGTGCCATGTCCAACAATGAATTTATCAGAAAGGTAATTTTTCCTCCACACCTAGGAATGGCTGCATTTCCACTAATGGTGGTGCACCTCTTATTAATTTATTTCACATTCAGAAACAC